ATTAGGCAGGGTGCTGCATCATCAGAAATGCTCTCACGACAGTAGGTGCTAAGAATGTCCTCCAACTGCCTGCTCAATTCCTCAGCCATGTCACAATTAGGCAGTTCTACCTCTGCATCTGCATCTGCATCTGCATCTACAGGGGGTAAATGGTAATGATAAATAACACTTCACTAATAAAGCATTTCCTTTAGTCTGCCAACCACTCAAATCACATTGCACTAGGGATATTCATAGTGCCTCATTTCCCTGTCGATGGAAAATGAATTTAAATTCAGACTAGTTGACTGTTAGGGTTTTTTATCTTTTCAGACTGAGCCGGATCACAGCATTTGCAGACTTAATGATGTCAAAATGGTTTACTGAGTTTAGCTTATTTTATAAGTCCTCCTTGCCGGTTACACATTGCTCAGTTCTAGGGCATGTATGTCAGTTTAACTTGAGAAGCCTATACAACTTTTTCTCTGTCACACTGCTCCAGGACAAACCGGGCCAAAGCATGCTTACCTCTTGTACATATCGTCGTAATACAGCACATGCATGGCTTTATGTTATTATGTAGCGTGCTCAGTTTACAAGACAGGCGGACTTGAGCGGGAAAAAAAAGTTGAGTCTGTGTCTGCAATTTGAAGACATCCTCCATAATGAAGGCTGTCAGCGTTGTATACCCGCGTGCTAGTGCTCGTGAATGAACTGTATCGTGCCGAAGCACACCTCTCTGAAGCGTGCCTGAGCACGGCACGGAGCGATCACACTGGTCAAACGAACTGGACTTTAGGGGTGAAGCGTGTTTAGGTACTGTACAGATTGCCAGTGTGACCGCGCCCTAATGTATAGTTTATTTTTCTCAACAACCAATTAATTGGTTTCAGTTTTTCTCTGACTACAGCCCTACATGCCACTTGACCCTTTCACACACAAATGTAGGTTATGCCTTTTGGAGCAATTTGGGTTTCAGCTGGTTAAGTCCGTATTATGATTTTAAACACTTTTACACACATACACTTGTGGCTTCCATGTGGCTTTTGCTCGGAGGTGAAGCTGAATGCCCTCTTATCAGAAAATAGGATCCCCGGAGAGATCATTTTAAAATGCACTGTACTTCTGTGATCCTTGCTCTACTATTGCTGGGTCATATTGGTTCACTATGCATTGTTTTAAGTGAAGTAGCTGACTGGCCTAGGCTAAAGAGGTGCAAAATAATTTTGTCACCTGTTACCTGTCCCAAGGTAACAAGTATCCAGAGACAGTTAACCCCAAATTGCTTCCCATGGCATAGCCATTAGTATTGGAATGAATGTGTGTGAATAACAGATAGTGGGGCAGATAGGTCGTTAGGATAGCAGCCTCTGCAATTAGTGGATGAATGAGAGTGTGGAAGGTTTATGCGAGTATTTAATGTAAAGCACTTGAATGATTGGAAACCAGTAAGTTCCTATGAAGCACAGACCATTTACAACAAAAGTTTTCTGGACAGCAGTTCTTGGATGTCCTTGTAAGGAACATAGTTGTTACACAATTATTTTAAAAAACACCAGTTGTAAGTGCTGTGTTGACATAAGTGTTGGAGAAATCAACCTACACTTATGTCTAGGAGGGGAACTTTTCTACATTACATCACTTAAGATTCCTCTTGTACTTGATACTGTCTTTGAAATAGAAGCCAAAAAAATGTTTCTTTCTCAAAAGCATGATCCTTCCCAGTTTCTGCGCAGTGAACACAAAAAAATGACTGAGGGTCCTCCAACTGTACTTACCCCAAGTCAGGAAAAAGGCCTATATTGCACTCTCTTAATGTAAAATATTGATCTAATAAAAAACATTTTACCTTCACTTCCCACCTCATCACATTGTGGAGGTGTGTCTGTCTGTTGTTCAGACTCTTTGGGTATGTCACCATCCAAGTTGACTTTTGCAGCTGCAGGTACCTCCATCCCCTCTTTTCCAGGTAGAGCTTCCTCACTGCTCTGGGAGGCAGACTCTTCTGTGTCTTGTTTTTTCATCTCTAGTATCTATTAGAGTAGAAAGACAATGGTGATTAACTCAATAAGCCATCAAACCAGCGTTTCTAGATCTAGTTATGACTCACACACAGATAAACACACACAATGTGCAGTGTTTACTGCAAATGACCCACCTTAGACATGGACAGGCCTACACGCAACAGATGGGCCTAATTAACTAAATGAAGGGGCAACTGTGATCTTAAACAAATACAAAGATGTTAAACACAAAATCCAGGCTAAAAGCCTTGTTTCTGTTGTATGAGGGTGGGATGCAAATCACTCCAATGACAATCTGTAGCTTGCACTAAAAAAAACCCATGCCCAAAGAGGATGCTTTCTCTGAAGCAGGTAAAGAGCTCAGCATCAGTTCCTGAAGTTGGACAAAGATAGTGAACCACTCTAATTATTGCCACAAAAAACCCAGGGTTAAACTTGTAGTAACTTTACTGATCACAAATCCTACTTAGCCGTAATGGCCTCTGGTTGCTAAGATTTCAAGGTCTGCATATTATGAATTTAGGATTTGACACCATAGACTAAATGTTTGTGCCCAAAAATCAACTTCACAAATTATAAGAAAATATGAAAATACGGACAGAGGTCAATCTCTAGATACAGACTCTACAGACCACAGTTCTAAGTCAATAGGTCATAGGTGATAATTGAGAGGATACCTTTAGAGTCGTTTCATTTCTTTTGGGGGGGAACCCATTCAATGTGCTATTTATTACAATTATTACAATTGTGTTGGACTGTGTACGTTGACATTTTTTATATTTTTTTCAGGTTAAAATAGAGAGGTATCCAAGATTATTTTTAATAATAATATAATCTCATGCAACAGTAAAATTCTGATAGAGATACTTACAAAGAAACCTCTGAATCAGAAACAATGCTTAACATCAAGCAGACCTAAATAATAAACACTGTTTATACTTGAAAAGTTAACTTAATCTATGTTTATCAAGGCTTCTCTAGCCTGTTATACTGCCATGGTTTATGATCTTAACTTGGATGTGATGGTCCTCATGACATGAATAACGTGGAACCAAATAAATTGTAATCAATATTCAGTCCAACAATTACACCAAATTAGAAATGTATGGTGGCATGTCAGTAATCCAAGGGTACACGTCGCTGTCAAACTGGCATGCAACGATGAACAGAGGAATGCAGGTGCCCCCAAAGAGACATGCAGATGTTCTCAAAGAGACATGCAGGTGCTCCCAAAGAGACATGCAGGTGTTCTCAAAGAGACATGCAGATGTTCTCAAAGAGACATGCAGGTGCTCTCAAAGAGACATGCAGATGTTCTCAAAGAGACATGCAGGTGCTCCCAAAGAGGCATGCAGATGTTCTCAAAGAGACATGCAGATGTTCTCAAAGAGACATTCAGATGTTCTCAAAGAGGCATGCAGGTGCTCCCAAAGAGACATGCAGATGTTCTCAAAGAGGCATGCAGATGTTCTCAAGGAGACATGCAGATGCTCCCAAAGAGACATGCAGATGTTCTCAAAGAGGCATGCAGATGTTCTCAAAGAGACATGCAGGTGCTCTCAAAGAGGCATGCAGGTGCTCCCAAAGAGACATGCAGATGTTCTCAAAGAGACATGCAGATGTTCTCAAGGAGACATGCAGATGTTCCCAAAGAGGCATGCAGATGTGCAGATGTTCTCAAAGAGACATGCAGGTGCTCCCAAAGAGACATGCAGATGTTCTCAAAGAGACATGCAGATGTTCTCAAGGAGACATGCAGATGTTCTCAAGGAGACATGCAGATGTTCCCAAAGAGGCATGCAGATGTGCAGATGTTCTCAAAGAGACATGCAGATGTTCTCAAAGAGACATGCAGATGTTCTCAAGGAGACATGCAGATGTTCTCAAAGAGACATGCAGATGTTCCCAAAGAGACATGCAGGTGCTCTCAAAGAGACATGCAGGTGTTCTCAAAGAGACATGCAGATGTTCTCAAAGAGGCATGCAGATGTTCTCAAAGAGGCATGCAGATGTTCTCAAAGAGACATGCAGATGTTCTCAAAGAGACATGCAGGTGCTCTCAAAGAGACATGCAGATGTTCTCAAAGAGACATGCAGATGTTCTCAAAGAGGCATGCAGATGTTCTCAAAGAGACATGCAGATGTTCTCAAAGAGACATGCAGATGTTCTCAAAGAGACATGCAGATGTTCCAAAGAGACATGCAGATGTTCTCAAAGAGACATGCAGATGTTCTCAAAGAGGCATGCAGATGTTCTCAAAGAGGCATGCAGATGTTCTCAAAGAGACATGCAGATGTTCTCAAGGAGACATGCAGATGTTCTCAAAGAGACATGCAGATGTTCTCAAGGAGACATGCAGATGTTCTCAAGGAGACATGCAGATGTTCTCAAGGAGACATGCCACATGCCGCTTTTTGAATCTTGTTGCTCCTGCTCCTGTTGCTTAACGACGTGTTTGAACGTCTGGTAAACGTCGGGTTTAAGCCTCGCATCTCAAAGAAATAGCTGCGTGCATGCACCGACATAAATGTATCTATTAGACTTTTATGTAACCATTAATATGGAGTCAGAAAACCTTCTCATTTCAAATTCTTAATAACGTTGTGTCTACGTTAACACAACACCAGATTAGTGTAAGACCGCATGAGTGCTTACACATTTAAATGACTATTAAAGCAACACATAAGCTTTCCCTTCACTCCTCTACTTAGGTTTTCAGTAAGCTAGCACATGCTAACGTTTGATAGCCCTTAGGTGTAACCAAAGTGCCAGGACGACAACAAGTTAGCCAGTTAAACAGGACACAAAAAGCTAAAAACGTAGACTGAAAACACATATACTTGTTTCAATTTATTTTCCTTCTCGGATATAAGGGAATTGTTTACCTTTAGACTCGAGCAGTAAACAGCTAATTTGTTTCCGCAATGGCGTGAACTAGAAAGTGTGCCTTCCGGTCTTCTTCTTCTTCTTCTTGTTCCTTTTCTTCTTCTTCTGTAGTTTAACGGTGGATCACACACCAATGTGTAACGGTGCTGCCACCAGGTTACAGCATACAGGTCAAAATAATACCTACCGCACCCCCGTGACATTTTTTTTTTTTAAATTATGAATAATAATAAGTGTTATTATTATGAATTATAATAACAATAACACAGATTTTTACAATGTAAACCTGTATCTTTCAGAGAATTAAACACAGCATTGTAGAATTTCCTCATTTTGTCACTTCTCCCTCAAAAATCCAAACTCCATCTATATCCTTATACCACGCAACTCATCTAAAATAATAACTTCCTGTCATCTGCACACTACTCTTTTAAGTCCTTCTCTTCAATTGACTGCTGTAGTGTTGTAGTCAGGCAATATTGCAAAAAATATGAGAATACATTCCTTACCAAGAAATGTATTTCTCCAATGTGTTCTTAAAAGTGTCCTGTGGGATAACATTTTCCTACACATGAATCACTTAGAGAGAGGAAAAGCTTGGATAAAATCCAGTTGGGATGATAAAACATCCTTTGTAAATGGTAAATGGATTTGAGTTTGTAGAGTACTTTTCTAGTCTTCAGACTACTCAAAGCACTTTTTACACCACAGGTCACACCTACACATTCACACACTGATGACAGAGGCTTCTATGTAAAGTACCCATGAAGCTTTCACACTTTTTTTTTTTTTGCCAGGGCTGAAAGGCATTTTAAACCCAAACCACCATTCTCTAGTATATAATAGAAATAGCTAAGTTTATTTTTTTTTCTGGTTTAATGTTCCAAATAAAGGGAATTTGTTTCTCTCACAAGTTTTAAAGAAGGCAGCATCAGGAGAGGGTAAAGACAATATGTAAACTGTGAGATAAGGAATTGGCATTTGCAACTTTACCATGAAGAGTTAAATGTTTGCCCCTCCATGCCTGAAGGATTTTATCAACTTTTTAAAGTTTCAATTCATGATTAGATTTTACTAACAGAGTTTTATCAGCTGGGATATGTCTTCCTAAAAGACTGGGTCATTGGACCTTTAAATAGGAGCCTGGCACAGTATCTGAAAGTTTTTATCCTTCAGTGGTCCAAGTTTGTCCAAACAATTTAACTAAAAAATAAAGGTCTCAAATGAGAGAGCATCTGCTTTCAGATGGAGGGAATCATCATCTGCGTAAAAAGAGGCCTTTGACTCTAATCCATTCATCATTAGACTTTTTATGTTTTACATTACATTACATTATTTCTTATTTTTATGGCTAATACTTCTATTACAAGATTGAACGAATAAGGACAGCCTTGCCTGACACCTCACACACCTTCACATCATGAATGCTATCCATCTATAAGTTTAGGATGAGGAAATGATCTAATCTGTGCTCTCTTGCAACTGAAAGTCTATGACAGCCAGATTTCCATCCACAATTTAAATTCATTAGATCAAATGTGAATCTATTTACAAGCAATTGTTGTGCCACAAATGCAATTTTGTGTCAATTTATAAAACTGAAGACATGGTTAAAGTTGTTTTCATACCGAAAAACACTGTTTTATAAGATGCTAAAACACCCAATAACTAGACACTTTGGAGACAGTGGCTGAGAGGAGCATGAAGGACAAAATCATAGCCATCTTGGATTACTCTCTTACGCTCTACATGATGAGCTGTGGTAGGTGGGCAGCTCATTCCACCCAGGCACTAAACTGAACTCTTCAGGCGCTCCTTTGTGCCCACTGCCATCAGAAAATACAACAGCAGAGGAACCACCATGATTCTGATTACACCCTTCATGCTATTCTACATATTTTGCCATTGATATATAATGTATATGGTATTGTATTATTATACGATATAATATTAGGTTATTTAAATGCACTTTTTATTTTTACATTCTTTAACTTGGTGGTCTAAATTGAATGGTCTAAATTGTAAATGAGTTTGTCAACTTGGTGCAGGCACATTAGGACTATGCAGTTGTTTAGTCGTAAATCCTGTTCTGATCTGCTGAATGTTTCTCCAGGATCAGCATGAACAGAAGATGTTGCATCTAAAATGCATTCAGACTGGCTACACGGGAACTCAAGTGATGATCAGCTTTCTCTTCATTCCAAGAAAATTATATTTTCAGATTCAGAAAAACAGATGTTGCATTTATAATTTTGAAATTAATCATATAGTTACACACACACACACACACACAATATAAGAAGACACATACATTGAAGAGTTGCAACATAGCTTTATTTGTTTGGTACAATATTTTCACTGAACTATTCAATATGTTGTTTTTTAAGTTTCAATATTTGCTTTGTCCTGTATTTTTCAATGTCCATGTATGTGTATCATGTTCAGTTGAAAGTGTATTAGTTTGTTGTCACTCATTCATACCGTCGGTAAAGTCAAGTCAAGTCACAGTTTACGATGGGTATTTTGAGTAAAAGAAAGAGTAGTGAAAATAAATAAACAGAAATGAGAGGACCAGAGTTGACACTGGCCAGTGATGGCATATTACATGAAGTATTTTACATAAATGTAACATTGTAAACATTTGCAGAGTAGACAACATTTTTTGATCAAGCCAAACATGGCTTCAGATTTTGATAAACATGAAAAGCTCCTAGGACGGAAGACGTCAGATTTGAGATATTGAGTGATGTCTTTTAATTCTCCTATAGATAACAATGGTTCCCAATCATGCATCCTGACTAGGACAAACTTTTACTCTAAACATAATTATCCAAAAATATAGCCAAGAATATCCTGATCAGAAAAAAAGATCATGAAAAGCAGAGGAGGCTTGTATCCTTGTCTCTGATTTAATTTTCCTTGTTCTTTCTCTAACATGTTCTGAGGCTTTTTCTCCACTTCTCAGAAGTGATTAGGTTTGCATCTGAATCCCTGTCATTGTATCAGAACATACATATAGGTTAACTTATAATACTTTTAATGTAAATCACTGCATCATTTCTGAATTCCAGATTTTATATTAGAAAAATGTGTAGTAGGTTGACTGTTAACTCCACTCACTGGTAGGAGTGTCACCTGTGGCTGTAGTAGAAGATTGGAGGGGGATCTCCAGGGTGCCCGATTTTAGAAATATTTATTGCAGTCTTCTAGATTACTATAGAGATATTTCAGTCCTCCAAACATTACTGAAAAAAACCACTCTAAGTGATAAAAGAGGGTCTGAGCTTTAGCAGCATTTAATGAAAAGGCGCAGGTTTGGAATGGCTTAATTAATCTCATTCTAAGAAAAAAAAACATCCAGTTAATAATTTCAACCAGTCTTCAGGATGTAAAACTTTTGTAAAAAAGGAAAACAAAGATTTTGCCTGCAATTATCTACTCTGATAGTCACTTGCATATTCTCTGTTTGCTTCATGTGTCACATTTAAGTACTATCACATTTTTGTATATTAATTGTAATTATTGTATTGGCACAGAAACTTACTTTGGTTTATGACCTTAGGCTCAATGCTCAATATTTAACTATACTGTACGGGCACAGTAAAAAAAAAACCCAGAAGAGTACCTTAATGGGGACCATAACACCAACTAAACTGACGTTATTCGATTCCCCATGTAGGGATCCACAGTCGAGAATGCCACTTTTTTTTTTTTTTATTAAATTATGGCAGAGAAAAATCATTACTTTAAAGATGTGGAAACTGAAGCAGCAATGTTCTGCACAAAGTGTGTGCACATTCAAGTAAAAAAGACAAGCAAAAATAAAGTGTAAGGATAACACAGATACATAGGATCCTCCAGTCTTTGTGGTTAAATTGGCACTTTTGTGAAAAGCAGTGCATTTTCATTTCAGAAATAAAAAAATAATTTGTCCTTGTTGATGCACTGATTTTTTTATTTTACATTTCAATTCTGGCTTTTTTGTTGTTGAAGGCCTAGCACAGAAATGGCCTTAAAATGGTCAAGTTCAGTAATAAATGCTGCTCTACACATCTGTCATTTGGAGGTTAAGATCTGTTCTTAGAGCTTGGTAATTTAACTCATGTCTTATAGGAGCACAGGTGTTCAGTGGACAACATCTCGAACTTGTGTTATAGTAGCACCTTGCGATACTTAAGTGTTTATATTGATGCAAAATGCAATTGTTTTCAATTTTTAAAAAAATGCTACTGAAAGTGTTTATCCGAGTATACCAGTTCCATTATTTAATGTTTGGCTGGTTCAGCAATCCACAGAACAGGGCTCCTAGACTCTGGTCAGGACATAGTCAGAGAGTCAATCAACCTTTTGCTCACACTGTGCCTTTCAGACAAACACGACAGGACAAAGCTTTCTGCATCCACAAAGCGTAAACCCTTATCCAGGATCAGCTTGCTCACAGGAAAAGCTGCTCTGAGGCCAGGGTCAACAGAGCTAATTCAAACCATCATATGCCACGTGGCTAGAAACAACAAAAAAAAAAGTTTCCCCAAACAGTATTTGTATGCTCAAATTATGATCTTTTGAAGAAGTCTGAGGCACTCAGAGGGTTAAGTATAAAAAAACCTTTAATTCATCTGGGCTAAAGGTTCATAAAAACATGCCAACATGTTTCAGCCATATGGGCCTTCATCAGGGCAGAGACAAAATGTTTTTCAGCAATTATCACAGTAATTTGCTTGTATATTTAGTCGCTTTAAAAATGTAGCAATCTGATCTCATCTGCCTTGGTGTCATGTATACATTTTGATGTTTAACTTTCTTTAAATGTGTAACCCTTTTTGCGAAGCCATGTGACAGCTCCTGGCTGTAAACCTTTAAAGGAAGTAGCTTGGGCGGCCATTTTGTATCCGCCCTGATGAAGGCATATATGACTGAAACGTGTTGGCGTGTTTTTATGAACCTTGGGCCCAGATCAATTAAAAAGGCTTTTTATACTTAACCCTCTCAGTGCCTCAGACTTTTTCAAAAGCTTCTTAGTTGGCTCCCCGCACTGAAGAGCACCAGAAGGACGAATTACCAAAATAATTTTCAATACCCATGCAGCACTCCATGCATCTGCTTTTCGACTATTTAAAATGATCCTCTTAGTATTTATGAACACAGAACAGGATCTTAATTAAACTGAACCAAGGGAAACATTTTTTTTTTTTTTTTTTTTTATAAATAAAGAAAATATACAAAGTGCTTTTTAACAAAAAAATATGGCCACGAACTGTGGAGAAAAACTTAATAAAAAAGAATACAATAAAGAATAACTCATTGAAAATGCTGTGGAAACTCTTATTTGCCATAGCCACTCATCTGTGTGAGATATATGTACTGTGTCTGCTGGCGTTGTATGCCTGCGTGCATATGACATTTTAACTCAAAAATATATTTTTACTCACAGTCGTCACTTGTTTGTGTTGTATCCCTAGCCAAACTCTGGTTGGATTGTTCTAAGAGCCACAAAGGGATAAACTCCTCTAACCAGGCATTAGTTACTGCTATTTATAACAAGCCAATACATGTCAGAAAAGACCCAGGCAAAATCATTAACAGTTTAATTATCCTTCCTCAAGTGTATAGTAATACATTCTACCACCATACAAAACACTATCACCACCACCACATCACCATCGCTGTTAACAGAACCAAACCAACCACTTGTGGCGCACTTCCTGCTTTTTAAATCAAAATTCTGTAAAATAAACACTGAGCAAGGTGCAACAATGTCTTGCAGCTTTTTTTTCCACACTGTTCTCTAGCTCTCTATAACAACTGTTTGTTTGGCCAGGGATACTCAGTGACTATAGGCAAGGTAATACTTAGCCATGCAAAACCCACCATGTACATCTGGGAGGCGGAGGGAGGCACAGTGCCTGGCTAACCTGCAACTTGTTTTTCAGTCATATCAGAAAATCTTCACTTTAAATGTCCGTCTCATTAAAATTCCTGGTACGTGTTTATAGAGCATGATGTGCAATCCTTTGAATGCATGCCAATGTAAAATTAAGTTTGGTTTATCATTTGCCCTTAATTTTAGAGCTATGCCATATTTTCATCGTTAGATCACTTCATAATTCAAATATATTGTTGTTAAAACACAGCACACGACGAATATCTGAACTCTAACTCTATTCCAATCTCAAACCTATATTGTTCTCATCTTAAAATGTATCCTCTTAAACTAAATCAATTATCCAATATCCCAATTCCTAAATGTATACCCATCTCCTGCCTGCCCACAAAACAAGTCCTATTTAAAAGATTTAAAAAAAAAAAAAAGGGGGGGGGGGGGTGATGAGGAGATCATACCTCCTTGAGCATCAGACTGTTGCCAGTAGTATGCCGTTGCCTAACATTTGTCTCTCTATAAGGGAATAGAATAGATTTGTCCATCAACCAAAGCTAATAAAAAAAAAAAGTAAAAAAAAGAGCATTAAAAAAAAAAAAGAACTGATGAATTAAATTGGGGAAAGAAAATAAATGTAAAACAAAGAGGGATAATGCTTAGTTTGTTTTTTTGCTCTGAATTGCACTAAGTTAAACCAACATCAAAAACTGGTTGTATGTGCACATGACACTGTGGATTTAGCACGGGGATGTAGGAGTAACCCTGATAATCAGCATGACCAATTTAGGAAAATGTTTGTTAATAAAAATATTTTAATCAATAAACTACTGCCAATGAGAGTCTATAAAAGCTAGTACAATAGCGGGAAGATGTCAATGTGTGCGTTTTAAGACAGGGCAGACTCACAGTTCGGGTTGTGAGGTGTTCACTCCCTATTTCAAAGTGTTATGAAATGTATGTGGCGTGCTTCCAAAGTAGCATCGAAATCAAAGAAATGGTAGAGGAGGATGAAGAGGGGGAGGAGAAAAACGGATCAAGAAAAGGGGGTATGAATTTATGTCTTAGGGCCCTCCATAACATGGGGAGGTATGAAGGGGGTAAAGGTGTTTTAGAGGAGAGGAGTGCTGACTTATAGCTGAAAGCCCTCCATCGGAGCCTCCTGCTGGGGGAAAAGGAACTGCTGGTTGGCTTGGTCAACCTGAGGAGCTAGACTGCTATCCTCGTCCTCAACTCCGAAGTAGTGCTCTATTAGATCAAATGCCTTCTGGTATATCTCTTGGTTGTCATGGCTCTGGAGAAACTCTATCTTGTCAAGACCTGGAAAAAAAACAAGTAAATTAGATCATGGATAATATGTTATCTCTGATCAAATCCCACATGAGAATTAATACCTGTCTTTTTTAATTATTTTGGATTTCAATATACATGATGGTCTAAAAAGTATTTTAGATAAATACAAATAGTTAGTTTACAGTCATCTTTTGTATTTCCACCTCAATATAAATCCTACACAATGGGTTTCGGAATGTAAGTGCGCAAGTGGACCTTGTTTACCATATGCTTCTTCAATAAGGCTGCAGTAAGGGTTCACTCCGCTGCCGTTGTTTTCCTGCTTGGCTTCTTGCTCCCAAGCCTCAGGATATTCTCAAGGCCGTTTAGAGCAACCTGAACGATCTTAGAGTCCATCACTGTCAGCAGATCACACAGGGGCTTAATGCAGCCCAGGTTCACCAGATATCTACATTCACATAAAACAGATACACAAAACACATTTTAAGATTTGACTCTTTAGTATTTCAATTCAAGATTACGAATCAATTTACAACACATATGTTGTCAAACTGCATTGCATTAATTTACTAAAACAATAAAAGAATTACAGACCAAAGGTGTTATCCAGGGTCAAAGCAAACCAGTGAGTTTTTAGTACATCCTTAGTCCCTTTAATACATGCAATTTAATCCTAAATAGTCTGGACCATTGACTATAAATATGGACAATGTGTCTCCCCCTCCTTTTTGTTGTACAATATATTACCCTTAATATTCTATAGATATCTGTATTGATACTGATAGTGCTTATAGATACTGATACTTTTCAATACTACTCTCCATCATTTGGTACAAAAAAAAAAAAAGAAATTAAGTCATGACATTAAAAGATTCCTCATGTTTAACACAGTGACTTTTTGAACTGAGTGGTTTAAATGTAAAAAGATTATGAGAGAATTCTGTTTCCTTCTTTAACGCCTATAAAACTCCAGAGCATTAAACCCTAACTCGTAATCCTCACATAAAAGCCAAACAGGAACTATATCAGGGATGTGATTGACAAAGGATGAAAAAACATTAAACATTTAGTATTTTATTTGATGCACAAAAAAAAAAAACATACTGGAACTTGAGGGATTATGAATATGGGGCAATTTAATCCAGATCCATTGATTTATAGCTGAGGTGGTACTTTTGTTGATTTCCTGTAATTCTGACCTTATCTGTTCTGGTGTTCCTCCAGAGGTGGCATTAGTGATAGCCCAGGCTGCCTCTTTCCTGGTTCTGAACTCTGCTTTCTGTAGAATGTCGATCAGCACTGGAAAGATGTTTGCATCGATTACTGTCTGTTGGGAAGGATAACATTGAAATTCAGGGGCATATCTGAAAAACATCTTCAACACATTTATGGCATCTTGACTTTAAAAAATCCCCAAACTATTCATCATACCCCTCATGGGCCCCTTATGTTAAGATATATGGATAGAAGGAAACATCAGTCCCTACAAAGCCAAACTGTGCTCTTTAGTATATATATAGATGTGAGGAATGTTAGGGCCCAAGATAGCCTGGAGGATATGTATGCATGGAGTAGTCCTTGTCGCTGCAGCCATGGGTTAGAATCCAACCTTGGCCCTTTTGCTGCATGTCATCTCCTCTCCCAACAATTCCTGTCTCTCTTCAGCTGTCTTATCCAATAAATGCAAAGTGGCTCAAATTTTTTTTATATCTTTAACAGCGCAAATTTTAAAAAAACAGACTTGGATATGACACTCACATGAAGAAGTAGAGACAGCAGGTAGAGAGAGAAGGTTGAGCAACATGTAGCTCACATGTGTATTACCGTACATATATGTCATCAACCACTTCTAAGGATGTTCAAAGTTACTTTAAGTGTGCATGGCCAGCCCAATAATTGTAACTTCTAAATAAAATGAAACCTCAATGACTACTGTCTTAACAGCTTTACATTTTAGAAGCTACGCACAGGCTATGCATGCACAGTGGCTACCAGAGAAACTTCAATTGCAAATAACTAATAAAAAAAAACGGGAAAACTGGCAGGTCTTGGTTTTGTTTCAAGCAACATGATGCGCTTGATGGGATTATTTACTTCTGATGGTTACTTTACATAGAACCCTCTGCCAACAGTGTGTGAATGGGTAGGTGTGACCTGCTTTATAGAAAAACGCACGCACACACGCACAAAACCCAATTATGAAGGTTGTCGGTTGCCCTAAAGTTATAAAGAAGTGTATGAAGTGTATTAATCACCTGTATTTGTGCTCGGTTTCCTGCTGTAATGTTTGAGATGGTCCAACATGCCTCTTTGCGGATGGACTCTTTAGCACTGCTGAGAAGGTGCAGCAAACATGGCAAAGCTGAGCAATTCAACACCACCTATATTAGGCAAAAGGGATGAAGTCAAGTGGTGAGGGTAAAAAGTGCCCCATGTCAGCAAAAAAAAACAACAACATTTTAACATTCATCCAAACTTCATTAAAGTTGACAATCTCTGAAGTCATCTGACAAGGCTAAAGAAATATATAGTGGCTTCATGTGTAGCTTTTGGTCATTTAGATAAGCAGGATGAGATTTTCTGTAAAAACAACAACAACAAAAATAAACAACTCCCACACGTACAAGACAAGATCAGCAAAGAGGGTTACAGCTTTGTTCACAGGCGTTGGCAAAACTGATATTAACTGAAATTTACAGCTTTACATCACATGTAATCTATACTTACTTGTGTTTGGATGTCATCTCCAGTGACAATGTTTCCAACAGCTCTCAAGGCAGGGGAAGCCACCTTATAGTCGGTGTGCCTGCAAAATGTGAGATTTAATTGAGATATTATTTTAAAAAACTCACGAGCTATATTATTTGTGACTAAGAATGAATAAAGTAATGTAGGACTTACATTAGTAGTTCTACTAGGCGCCTACAGACACCAGAGTCAATTACAGCTTGGATTTTGTCATTGGGGCCATCTGAGAGGTAGGACAGCGCCCAGCAGGCATCTGCCAGCAAGTCTGGGTCACTGCTAAATAAAAGCCTGGACAGCACTGGCAGACAGGGTGACACCTAGAAGACATGGACATAACTGATGTGAAAAAGCATGGGGGTGGGGGAGTTCTACTGACTATTCACCTAAATCAGCATTTCTACAATTTATTTAGCAGACGCCTTTGTCCAAAGCAACGTAGATCAAGAAGTACCGGTAACTACAACACATACAAGGCTCTAGAGAGGAGGAAACAACTTCAGTAAGCACAGCTTTAAGGCTGATCGGACACAGAGGCAGTGCACTTTTTTCTTAAAGGGGTGCTAAATAAAAAGAACAATTTGCAAGCTTGTCGATAGCTAAATATACACAAGTAGTATGTGTGATGTGAAATCAAAAGTGTTCAAAAAAAGGAAATGATACCTTTTCAAAAGCAGGTGGAGGGTTTTTTCCTCTGCAGAGATTAGACAGAGCCCACACCGCATTTCTAGTCATAGTCAATCTAGTGGATTTGGTCAGAAGCCTGAAATGACAAAGAAAAGCAAAACTCAATACAGATGATAGTGCAAACATTTTTATAATAGAACGCTACGGGTCTAAATCAGAATTTCCTCTTCAGAGGCAATAAAAAAAAAAAAAAGGCCTTACGATAATAGTGGTGGAAGGATGTTGCAGTTGAGCACGTAGTCCCTGCAAACTGCACTGTCCCCTGCAATATTACCCAAGGCCCAAACAGCCTGCATGAAAAATATCACAAAACCTTTGTTAACTATTGACCTTTCATACAAAACCATGAACAAAGGCAGACAAAAAAATTATTAAAAAAAAAAAGAAGTATCTCGATGGACTCAATAGATGATATAAAAAAACACTGTGTCGTTACCTGTTCTTGAACATCCTCAAAGTCAGAGTTCAGTAGTTCTATAAAGATTGGCACTGCTCCAGCTTCAATCACTGTCTTTGTTTGCATGGATGTGCCTGATGCTATGTTGGTCAGTGCCCATGCTGCTTCAAACTACAGGGGCATAAAAAAAATTTGTTTTACTCTTTTTAAAAACAGAGTCTTGAAATACTATTGTTGATATGGGGAAAATCTTTAAACTAGGGCTGTCAAATGATAATATTTTTTAAAAGCTATTTATTGGCACATTTCAATAGTCAAATCCCATGTTTGAAATCCCATTATTATTATTTTTATGCCTTTTTTTTTTTTAGTATTTTGTTTTGTCACTAAGGATACTTTACTTGCCGTTTGGATACAAACCCGGTTTTATTCTGAGAGAAAACTTCCGGTACATTGTAAGTTACAGCATGAATTTGACTTCTGAAAAAGGAGCTTGCTAGAGATTTTCAAGCAATTGAAAATAGCTAAAGGGAATGTTAAAAGGGGAAATGTTCGATGTCACAAGGTACATATTACTTTTGCCTTGTCAACTGAGCGCTCTTAAAGTTTTCTTTTTTTAGTGAAATGAACCATTCTAAGAGGCTGCTGTGTCGACCATTTCCATCACTGTGGGAGCAAGAAGACGCTGCATGGCTTAGCTACATTACTTTTCATGTGCTGAAAGGGACCAAATGGTATGTGATTAATGCCACCACAAAAGATGAATGCGCATATTTCCAACCTTAATTGCATTGTGAGTAACACATTAACGCTGACAGCCCTACTTTAATAATAATAATTCACATTGAAATTAATTTCACATGAGATAGTTATTTAGGCATTACAGTTTAGAGATACACCTCACTGCTTTGACAAAACATCAACAATGTTACAAATCCAAAACTTGTTAAACACAGAAATGCTGTTTTACTCATCATCAGACAGCTTGTCTCGTGACTTGCAGCAATAAAACTGGACAGTCTGTACTACTAGTTGTATGCTGAATGTAAAACACATGATATTGTTCAATAAAACTAGTGGCCAATGAAAGTGAACTAAAGAGAAATATTACCTGCTGTATATAAGAGAACTTTTTGGTGAGATTTAATAATTAACATACTTTGATTGGGATTGAAGGTTTGAAAATTAAATGTAAAGCAATGTACATTCAATGCACAAACAAAAGCGAGTGTCCTTACAAACTGACCTGTAGTGTGCAGTTGATACTCTTCTTTAAAAATTCCACAAACCTCTCCACAACTCCAGGTGTGTTTATGACTTCATCAATGGGTGGGTTGGGCTCTAAAATCAATAGGGATATACTAGATTTAAGTATTTATATCTGGTACGAAGTGTGGTCATGATAGGTGCCACAGTTTCGTCACTACAAGAACACAAGTATACGAGTATACCTTTAGAAAGTAGTTTTCGAAATTTCTGTGTTGTGGAAAGCTGAAGCTCAGGGTCCTCTGAGAAAAGCATCTCAACCATGTCTCTGGTAATGACTCCTTCCTGCAAAAACACAAACATTAAACAAGACTTAAAGCACTCTGGGCTGAACAGACAATTCCAAACCTGCAGGCTGAAAAAGACCCTTGACAACAATTACTACCACAAGTTTAAAATAAACCTCTGTTTTTTTCCTTTGTAAGCCTCTCTTGTAGGGCTTTCACACTTGCAGAAAACTCCTAAAAATCTCCTGATATTGGCAGGAGGAGCTGCATGTGTTAACACAAAGAGCCACAGTTTTGTTTGGACTTCACCCAGACTTTCTCCTACCAGACCCCTAGTATTTTTTCCACAGCAAGTCCGAGTGAGCTGATGTGAGAAAGCAGCAGGATATTCTCCGGAGAATTCCCCTCGAGCCAATAGGAGGGGGAAGTGGTGTTTCATATCCTGTGACTGCTGCATGGCGCATAGAGTGTCTGCATGCCACCGCTACGGTCTCCATGCACGTAACTAAATAATGTTTTATGTTAGTCAGTAAGTTGTTCTCTGCTCTTTAGTTTATAGTGTGATTTTGTTGACTTACACATAGCATTGCTATAAAGGCAAATATTTCCATTATAGCATCGTATAGCGGACTCTGTTGCTTTGTCTGCATCTTTTTTATGAAAACGTTACCTCAGCAGACCCACCCACCCCCCCCCCCCCCCCATCTGACAGGGATTGTTTCCTGCTGCGTGGTTAATATGTGAACAGCCAGGTCAGGAGAATAT